CTACATGCCTGAAAGCCGGGCCGTTTTTTTTTTTCAGTGTCCCTGGGCCGAGCGTCTCCATTTGGCCAGCCGGGGGGGGCGGGGGCGGGGACTAGCCCGAAGTAGAGGCGGTCTCCCTCCCTCCTCGGATACCTGCCCCCCTCGCCCTTCCCTGCGTCCCCTCCCCCCCTTCACCCCCCCCCGGCGGCGGCTGCGGGGGGGGGGGGGGTGTGTTGGGGGGGGTGGGGTGCCGCCGACGCCGGCGCGTGCTGCACACACCGCATCGTGCACGGCCCTGGGGGGGGGGGGGGGCACATTCCGGTAACCGGGCGCACACACACTGCCGTTCCGGATGCCCCGCCGCCCTGGTCCATATGGCCGCTCCCGGGCCGAGGGCCCGCCCCTGGCGAGTCTGCTGCAGGAGAGGCAGGTCACTTGGCTGGCGCTTTGTCCGGTGCTTCTCTTCGCGGCGCGTGTCGGGCCATTCGGACGGGCCGCCGCGCGGGCTTCCTTTTGCGCAATCCGCCTCGGCCGCCGGGGCCCGCGAAGCTGGGAGGCGCTTCGTCAGCTCGACCGGGCCGCCGGCTCTATGGGTGCGTCTGCCCCCGGGCGAGTTCTTGCATGCGCGGGTAGCCTCCTCCCGCCACCCCCCCCCCGGTCCCCCCAGTCGTTGCCCCGGCAGGCTGCTGGGAGCACAGAGACAGGGGCGAGGGAGGCGGGATCCCCGCCGTTGGGTGAGGACCGCGGTGCGCTGGTCGCGGGCCCACACACACATCGGCCCTCGCGCGCCCTCCGCCGCCCGGGGCCGGCGAGGCCTTGGCACTCGGCTTGTGTCTGGCCCGCCCGCCTGGGGGATGGGGGGGGGGGGACCGGGCCATTCCTCCGTGGGCGCATTCTGGCAGCGGGGATGCTTTTTTCCATGGGCACCGGAGAAGCTGATAGCTGTGAATCGGAACATACTCCCGGATGAGTGCCCGCTGGAAGGGGGGGCCGCGATGTGTGTGTGTGTGTGTGTGTGTGTGTGTGTGTG